AAAACAATATTGTAATCCTTATAAGTCAACAATATCCTACTCCCAGTAGGAATTGGTAATAGTGTTGAAAAATCCTTTTCTTAATAGGATATAGGTTTCCTGTTTTGGCTTCATAATCCCAACAATCTCCCACTTGGAGACAAAACGACAATTCTCTGCCTCCCACTGCATCAACAGTGCCCCATCAACTTCTTACACCCTCTATCAAGGCACAGTTCTGACTTCTCTATCAACACTGCTTGGCCCTACCTAAGCATCGTCTGACTCTGCCCCGAGATTAGGCAGCTCTACGTGGTCTTGTCCCCCAGACTTAGAGACATAGCCACGTACTCCTACTTGATCTAAGTGGTCCCCGTCACTTCCTTTCTCGATCGAACCCAACGACCTCTAAAGGAAGATTCCCCTAATGACTTGGCGTTCCCACCCAAGTCCGTCGCCACACTAGAAACAGAACTCGTACCCTTCAATGCACTAATTCGCCTATGCGACTTCACCAGCTCACTTGAACGTCTGACAGCTGAGGTATGAACTCAATGGCCTATCAAATTCCCGTTTCCCTTTTCTGTACTTCTCAACTGCTTTACTTAAGCTGATGACAGATTCTTCTGATCTGTTCTGGCCATCAATGCTGCTGGTCCTCTAAGGTCTCGCACTGAACCATCTGCAGCTACTCTGTGCATCGTCTGTCTTAGTGAACCCTTGGCAACCCCAAACTCTGACACATAAACAGAAGATCTCTTGTGGCTTGTTGCCACCACCCTGGATTCTCTCTTGAGATTCCAGCAACCCTCACTAAACTCACTGCTGTAGCCATCATCATCTAGCTTCCCTACGAATAACAAATTAAATCTGAAGCTAGAAATATACCTAACACCTCGTAGCACCAACTCGTCCCCTTTGCCTGTCTTCAAACAAACATCTCTAATTCCTTTCACCTCGGAGATACTCTCATTCCCCATCTTCACTGAGCCATAATCACCTACAGTAAGAGATGAGAACCAACATCTGTCTGAAGCAACGTGCTCTGATGCTGCAGTGTCAACCACCCACTGGTCTACAAATATGTTCCTTTGAACACAAGCCATAAACTCCTCAATTTGTTCTTCTTTTGTTACAACATTTGCAGTAGTGTTTCCCTTCTCAAGATCTTCTTTAAACTTCCTGCAAAAGCGTTTAATGTGTCCCTTCTTGTGGCAGTAATAACACTCTACTTCTCCACTGGAACTCCCACTACCCCTGCTATATCTCTGTTGTTGATTCCCATTGTAACTAATCTTTGTCTTCCCTTTGTTCTGAGCTACCGAAGCTGATTCAACCTCGTTTTCTGCCCCTGAAGTAGATGCAGACATTTTTCCTAATTTTCTCCGGGCTTCCTCAGATATGGCGGCATCACAAATAGCAGTAGATTTCAAGCTATTTTCTCCTAGCGAATTCGACACTGCGGTCTTCATCGTCTCCTAACTGTCAGGCAAAGACGTCAACAGCCTCATAGCTTTCACCTCCTCGTCAATCTTGACACCCATCCCTTCTAACTTGTTCAAGATATCGGTGAGTTCATTAATGTGGGAATTCACCGAGGTTCCCTCATCCATGTGGATATTAAAATA